TCCAGCCTGAAATCGTTTCATCGGATCGCTTTGCCGCTTTTGTACATGAACATTCCTTGGCAGAGGAACTCCGGAGACAGTCGGGCCGTGGCAAAAAAAAGGCTGACAATAGGAACCAAGAACAATGACAGCATGATAGCAGTAGCAACCATCCTCAGCTAAGGCACAACGATCCCGTCGAACTTCGGAGCTGCAAAAGAGTCTGGATCATCGCCCCGCTTCCGCAGCTTCGTGTGCTTGGGTGTGCACCCTTAGTTGATGGGCATCGTCCCTGCCTTTGCCATCCGGCGACATCTGCGAGATCAACGAGGCCTTTCCCTTCGTTCGACCACCTAAAGATCCCCATGGAGAGAAGCCCCAAGGGCGGCGCCATCGCGCTTCGCCACCCGCTGGGAGCCGCTGGTGCTAGGCAAATCACTCTGCTGCCCGAGGTCAAGCGCCAGGGCAAGAAGTTGGGCGTCACCTCCATGTGCTTGCAGCATAGGCGCATGGCCCACTATAAAGGCCTGTAGGCTATGTGCCCTTTCCAGCCAGGGATGCAGATTGCCTCAACAGTTTCGGAGCAGGGGAACAATGCGGAAATGGCCGTCGCATGCAATAGCCCTAAACCCTAAACCCTCAACAATGCAGCACAGGGTTTGGCACTCATGTCGCGTCCTTGAACCCTGAGATTCTCAGCGTGTCAGGTCTTCCGGGACTTGCAAAGACAGCTCCACCCCGACAAGAATCTGCACGACCAGGAGGTGGATTGACGGCTGCGAGTTAAGCACCCTCAGTTATGTATGTATGTATATATATATAGGGTATAATATATTATATATTTTCATTATACATTATTATATATTTTATATTATATGTTATATATAATATATTATATACTATATGTTATATGTTATATATTATATATTATATATTATATATTATATGCTATATGTTATATGTTATATGTTATATGTTATATGTTATATGTTATATGTTATATGTTATATGTTATATGTTATATGTTATATGTTGTATGTTATACATTATACATTATATATTATATTATATATTATATATTAATTATTATCTATATATATTATATATTATATATTATATATTATATATTATATATTATGTATTATGTATTATGTATTATATATTATATTTTATATATTATATATTATATATTATATATTATATATTATATATTATATATTATATATTATATATTATTTATTATATGTTATACAATACTATAATATAATAGAATATAAATTACATATAATATAATATAATATAATATAATATAATATAATATAATATAATTATATCTATATATATATATATATGAATGCATACTTATTTTGCCGTACTTGAGTTTCAGATTTCTAAGCCCTCAACCGTTCCCGTGCATGACGGTCCTGGTGGTCGACTTACCCTTTATAGGGTTCAGGGTTTGTAGGGATGATAGGTGTTGCAGGGTGTACAGGACTTTTGTTTTCGGTTTAGGGTTTAGGCTTCACCGATGTTTTCAGGGTTGTCGGGTGTGAGGGCAGGTTAATATACACTGCCCAAAAAGTGCCCACTGTAACTGAATAAGCTCTGATTATGATAGTAAGAGAGAAGGTGGAGAGCAAGTCCTTCCACAACCCACACTCGAAGAACCCCGACCTTGGCATAGACCTTAAACCCCAAAAACAACTTATGCCTCAAACCCTCAACACTAAACCTTGAACCCACAAGATGACTCTACAGCCTAAACTCCAAGCCAGGCCGCGAAGCTAGCTTTCCAAAAGTTGATGGAGAGCCGCCAAATCCCCAGATTGTCTCAGCGCAGCTGCGAACTTGACAGGGTTCAGGGCTTAGGGTGTAGGATTTGGGCGATGCCAGGGCTCATGATACGTTGCCTGTGACTGGAAGTATTGCAGGCCCTAAACCCTAAACACGGCATGACGAATCCCGAGTTATAGCCGGCGTGGTCGTGTGCGATGACCCTGAACCCCAAACCCCACTGAGAATTCAATTTCAGAGGTTGGCCATACCCTGAACAATTTGCATGCACAGTGTCAAGGGCTTTAGATTCCCGGAAACCCGAAAGCCTGAAACCCTGAACCCTGAAACCCTAAGCCCTGAAACCCTAAACGTCCTAAGCCCGAAGCACTTAAACCCTAAACCGGGGCCCGAAGCTGAAAGCCATTGCGCCCAAAATCCAGGTGACAGCTACTTGAGCTGAGATGGCTGAGGCGCGGTTTGAGAGGGCGCGACAGGAACTAAAACAGGGCATTCTGAGGGGCACCTTATGGATAAGGATGAGCCCCTTTTAGCCCTTTGAAAGCGAGCTGAGCTTCTGCTTCGGTGTCGGGAACCGATTGCGATTCTGACAGGTCAGCGCTTTGGAAGCACCACGCCTGCTGTGCAAAGGGTGCCCCGAGTGAGTGGAAGCTGCTTTGCACTGCTAAGTGGTCCTGCGCGCACAGACGCCCCCGTTACTCGGGTCATTGCATGTCACCTGGGGGTGCTCAAGAACTGGGCACTTGTAAGAGCTTTCTTAAGAGTCCGGTCCCAGCGCCGTACTTCGCCACCCCGAAACTTTAGAGTCTGAGGGGTGGGGCTCCAGCAGGTCAGGTCGGACTCGGCTTTACCAAAACAACTCCAAATCCTCTTGCGGTCCGCCAGGTGCGTGGTCGTGCTGTTGGTCTTGTTTTTCAGGTGGCGATTTGTTGTTAGCATGAACCGCGTTGTGGTTGTGCTTCTGATGTTGCAGTGATGCGACGTTCCTTTCATTGCAGCAGCAATCGTTCCTCGCGTGAGTGTTGTTGCTCTATTGATCTCTATTGATGTCATGGACCTCATGATGATGGAGGTGGTGATGCAGGTCGTCGTCGCTGTTGTTGCTGCTGTTGCTGCCACTGCTGATGTTGCTGCTGTTGTTGCTGATGCTGTTTTGCTGCTGCTGCCGTTGCTGCTGCTGTCGTTGTAGTCGTTGTAGGTGGTGGTGGCGGTGATCGGGGTTTGGGTTCTTGTGGTGGTTGTGGTTGCTTAAGTTCGCGCAAGAAGTACACAATGATATTTTCGAGCGCATCTAAACCTTTTGTCCGTGCAGTTGCTTTAAGAGGTTGAGGACGGGGGTCCGGCATACATATGTTTTCAAAGTATCTATCAGCTGACAGAGGCACATGCGCAAGGATTCATGTTAGCTCGGGCAGTTCCAAGAACTGTCATGCAAGTGGGGGACGCTGAGTTTTCATTCCGCCAGCAACCTAAAAGTCATTGTTTCTGCAGAATCCCGGCTCACTGCACTTTGGTAGTGGTACCCGCTTCGATTTCCTGGGTTAGGCCGACGCTAGCCTGACTTGGGGAAGTGGTGTTCCACATGATGGGTCGTTTTTGGAGGTTTTGTTTCAATTAGAAGAAGTATATAGTCTACCTCAGAAGGCACCAACAAACCACTTAATTTCGAACAACCACCATGTGACCCCCCCAACTCGGCGTTCCTGCTTGCCCGCTTCAAGGTTTTATGGTGTAGGATTCGGCGCATCTACTTGTGCATCACAGGAGCCGCGTGTCGCTGTGTGATTACCTTGCTGTAGATGTCGCTAGAAAAATATTGAGCTGTTCCTGTGCCCAGCGACTAACGTCCAAAACCAGATGGCGAAACGAAAGTGTTTATTCGAGCGGCTGTCATGCAATCACCCCCTGGAAATCTGGTGGTGGCCTACTCTCCATGGTGGTACTGATAACCCTACTTATAGCTACCCGGGCCTGTTTTTGCCTGCCACGCGCAAGCGTGTCAAGCGACCCTATACGTCCCTGAGTCCATCTTGTCACTTCTCGAAAATAGACCCGACTTTAGAGAACTGACCATCTGGACATAATACGCATGAGGCAGACACGCGGCTCTAATATCTGCCCTGGCAAGTTGCACTTCCGCGCTTTCCCTCCTTCAGGGGGCCAGCAAATATTCAGATACCCACTTCGATATGTAAATATTGACATTGAAGATTCATTTGGCATTGTAACGTTCATATGAAGTGTATGGTAGTGACTGGGTATTTTCGTTATTTCGTTATGGTTCGGCCAGTTCGTGTAGCTTTGTAGCACTGTACGGCCAGTTCGTCTAGCTTTGTAGCACTGTAGCCATAGTCATAACAAAAAGCCGATTACAACCCTTACTAAAGACTTGCATGTAACCATGAATTGGATCATCCTCCGGTTTGGTCGGGTTCTGTAGGCTGGAGGGTTTAGGGTTTACGTGTGGCTCAGGGTTTAAGGCTTAGGATTTGGGCCAGGGTTTAGGGTTTATCGGGGTTTAGGGGAGGAGGGAGGAGTTTCAGGTGTAGCATGCGAGAGAGTGTGGGCTCCGACCGGGCAGATGTGATCAGATTTCAAGACTTGATGTTCTAGACCCTAAACCCTAAACCCTAAACCCTAAACCCTAAACCCCAAACCCACCAAGTTTCGAGGGTTGTTTCGGGGGTTGGCGGGGGGGTTTGGGATGCGGATGCCGGTGAAATTTGAGCAAAAGACAGGTCCCGAGACAGATGTGGTCTTGGCGTGTTCGCCGCTAAGTTGTACTTGCAAGCCTCCGGAAACAAAATGTCCTCACCTTTCATAGAGCTTTCAGCTGTATGGAGAGTCTTTAACATCGTTTGCGAACGCTTAGTAAAGAACGCCCCCTAAACCCTAAAACCCTAAGAAGGACCTGAACACAGGCTTTCTTTTGCTTAGCCGCTGGCGGCCGAGAAGTGTTAACGCCACTACGACTGCCACCCAAGGTGGCGGGAGACAAAAGGTGTCAGGGCCCCTTTAGAAGCCAAAACAGTGGGTTTAGGGTTTAGGGTTTACGAAGCTGGAGTCTCGATGCCTTCCACAACTAGTTGCCGTCGGGTCATGGATCGCGACAGCTGGTAGCGGTTATGCTTGGCTCGCTGTGTCGTTGAACACCATTGGCGCGACCGACTACTTTGGAAGTGCTCAACGCTCAAGCTATGTAGTGAAGCGCCAGACCTCCTTCAGCCATGAGCCGTGTCACGCGTGTCGCTTCGCACGTCAACGCGAGCTTGTCCGCCGAGGACACACAGCTCGCAGCAACGCCAACCGCAGGCTTCTGCACAGCAGACAAGGCGGATGATGACGTGGTGATCTGCTGTGCCGCCCGCATGGCCCTTTGCAAGGCCAAGCGAGGTTCTTTTGCCAACACCTCCCCCAGGAGGAGCTCCTGCCCTGGGTGTTCATCGCGGTTGTCGAGAGGACGAAGGTGAACCCCTCAAGGACATCGGAGACATCCAGATCGGCAACGTGCTGCAGCCAGGTGCCAGTGGACTTACATCTCGCATGGGCCAGTTCATGGTCGAGCTGCTGTTTGACATTCCGCTCAGCACTGTCACTGAGATTGAACGGGCATCCTTTGCGTACTGTTCAAGGAGATTTTGCTGGGGTTATGTTTTCCTTTTCTGCTACCTTTGCTTGGAATCGGGACGATCGCCGAATCGCCCCCCCCACCCCCGATAGTCGAGCGCCATACGATAAGGTCAAGCGCCAGTGCGGCAGCAGCTTGCAGGCTACCGCGAAAATCGCGGCATTCATCAAGGCGGGTGGGATTGATGTTGGCCTTGCCGGGGGTGTGGAGAACATGAGCATGTTCCTTGGGATCCAGATCGAAAGTTGCGTAAGAAGTCATGAGGGCAGCAGTCAGAATTAATTACTTGCAATCAGGTTCCCCTTGATGGCCACCATCGACATCACCAAGCTGTCCCCGAAGATTATGGACTACCAAAACGCTGAGGCTTGTTTGTTGCTGATGGGCTGGACATCCGACACTGTGGCAGCTGCGTATCACATCTCCAGGGAGCGTCAGGATCAGATGGCAGCAGATTCCCACTTGAAGGCGCTCGTTGAAGAATGGCTGGTTCAAGGAGGAGATCGTCCCGGTGTGAAGGTTGGTGGGTAGACAAAAGTAGGGTTATTCAGTCAGGTGACCTGCATTTATATCTAAATCAGGAAGAGCCTTACTTATGGCTACCCCTAAACTTTCAAGTAGCCCTAAACCCTAAACCCTTGCAAAACCCTAAACCCTAAACCCTTTTAGGGCACTTTCAATTCTACTTGCATGTCCCCATCCTCCGGAAGCCCCAAGCCTATGAGCTGCTCTGGGGTTCCTAGCGTTATAATGGGATATTCTTCAAGTACTCTACTTCTGACATATCCGACAATTTTGCATTGTCATAGATAGATATACATATATATGCATACATACTATTGCTCCCTTTGGATGAAGGCATGCCATCTTGCAGCGTTACCGGGCTCTCGGCGCGCTGGAGCAACTCGGCTGGCAGATTGGCAATGTTCTTGCCTCCAGAGTACTTGCCCTAAACCGCAGTTTAGAGAGGTGGCCATATGGAACCCGAAGCCCTAAATGTGTGTTTGGGGCAGCCCTTCCTTGCAGAGATTGTTGTCGGAGTGTTTGCTCAGAAAAAGCCGGACTTGTGCAGCCTCGTTTAAAGATTCCAACGCACAGCCATGCAGCGTTTGAGTGTCCTGGCCGGACACGTCGTCTCGACGAGTGCAGAGGAACTGCTGAACCCATCGCCAGTAGCCAGCTACTGTGGGGTTGAGAAGTCGGACGAAGACATCGTCATCTGCTGCGCAGTAAGAACGGCAATCACCAAAGCAAAGAAGGGTGGCTTCAAGGACACACCGCCTGAGGATATGCTTGTCCCGCTCTTCCAGGAGATCCAGAAGAGAACAGGAGTGAAGCCCGACTGCATCGGTGACATTCAGATCGGCAACGTGATGCAGCAGGGTGGTGGAGCTCTGACCTCGCGCCAGGCCCAGTTCATGGCAGGGCTGCCATGCACAGCAGGGTTGAGCTCGGTCAACCGTTGGTGCAGCAGCGGATTGCAGGCAGTGGCCAACATTGGCGCTTCCATCAAGGTGGGCTCCATTGACATTGGTCTGGCTGGGGGCGTGGAGCAGCTGTCTTTCTTCCCCATGGGTGAGGGCCTGGATTTGAATAAGTTCTCCGAGCACATCTTGGCCGTCGAGGATGCCAAGAACTGCTTGCTGCCCATGGGCATCACGTCCGAGAACGTGGCGGCGAAGTATGGAATCTCTTTCGAGAGGCAAAATGCCTTGGGCGCCAGGTCGAACGACTTGGCGATCGCGGCTCAGAGAAATGGTTTGTTCAAAGACGAGATCGTGCCGATCAAGACCAAGACCATTGACAAGAAGACGAAGGCTGTCAAGGAAGTCCTTGTTGACACAGATGAAGGCCCCAGAGCCGGCACTACGGTAGAAAGCCTAGGCAAGCTGAAGCCGGCCTTCAAGGCAGGTGGAACCACCACAGCTGGCAACTCGAGTCAGGTGTCCGATGGCGCAGCCCTGGTTTTGGTGGCCCGACGATCTGAGGCCAAAAAGCACGGCTTGCCAATCCTGGCACGATTGCGAAGCTTCGCAGTTGCTGGCTGTGACCCGGCACTCATGGGCATCGGGCCAGCTGTCGCCATCCCGAAAGCACTGGAGAAGGCAGGCTTGACTGTTGCCGACATCGACATTTTTGAGATCAACGAGGCCTTTGCATCCCAGGCAGTGATGACGGTCGACACCTTGAAGATCCCCATGGAGAAAGTGAACCCCAAGGGTGGCGCAATCGCACTTGGCCATCCGCTGGGCTGCACCGGAGCCCGGCAGATTGCAACTCTTTTGCCAGAGATGAAGCGTACCGGTGCCAAGTTTGGCCTGTGCTCTATGTGCATTGCAACCGGGCAGGGGGCCTGTGGCGTGTTCGAGAATGAGCAGTAATGGGCGAGCTGTATGTAGGTCTCACAAACACCATCGTTTGGCCTGAAAGCGTTTCATCGGATCGCTCTGCCGCTTTTGTACATGTAAGTTCCTTGGTAGAGGAAATCCATTGACATTCGGGCCATCGCAAGAGAATCGTGCTGTTCAAGGAGCTTTTTGCTGTGGTCATGCTTTCCTTTTCTGCTGCCTCTGCTTGGAATCGGGACAATCCCCCCTCCCACCCCGCGATAATCGACCGCCATAAGCTAAGGTCAAGCACCAGTGCGGCAGCAGCTTGCAGGCCACCGCGACAATCGCGGCATTCATCAAGGCGGGTGGGATTGATGCTGGCCTTGCGTGTGGAGAACATGAGCATGTTCCTTAGGCGCCAGGTCGAAAAGTTGTTTACAGATTGTTGTCGGAGAGTTTGCTCAGACACAGCCGGACTTGTGCAGCCTCGTTTAAAGATTCCATAGCGCAGCCATGCAGCGTTTGAGTGTCCTGGCCGGGCACGTCGTCTCGACGAGTGCAGAGGAACTGCTGAACCCATCGCCAGTAGCCAGCTACTGTGGGGTTGAGAAGTCGGACGAAGACATCGTCATCTGCTGCGCAGTAAGAACGGCAATCACCAAAGCAAAGAAGGGTGGCTTCAAGGACACACCGCCTGAGGATATGCTTGTCCCGCTCTTCCAGGAGATCCAGAAGAGAACAGGAGTGAAGCCCGACTGCATCGGTGACATTCAGATCGGCAACGTGATGCAGCAGGGTGGTGGAGCTCTGACCTCGCGCCAGGCCCAGTTCATGGCAGGGCTCCCATGCACAGCAGGGTTGAGCTCGGTCAATCGTTGGTGCAGCAGCGGATTGCAGGCAGTGGCCAACATTGGCGCTTCCATCAAGGTGGGCTCCATTGACATTGGTCTGGCTGGGGGCGTGGAGCAGCTGTCTTTCTTCCCCATGGGTGAGGGCCTGGATTTGAATAAGTTCTCCGAGCACATCTTGGCCGTCGAGGATGCCAAGAACTGCTTGCTGCCCATGGGCATCACGTCCGAGAACGTGGCGGCGAAGTATGGAATCTCTTTCGAGAGGCAGAATGCCTTGGGCGCCAGGTCGAACGACTTGGCGATCGCGGCTCAGAGAAATGGTTTGTTCAAAGACGAGATCGTGCCGATCAAGACCAAGACCATTGACAAGAAGACGAAGGCTGTCAAGGAAGTCCTTGTTGACACAGATGAAGGCCCCAGAGCCGGCACTACGGTAGAAAGCCTAGGCAAGCTGAAGCCGGCCTTCAAGGCAGGTGGAACCACCACAGCTGGCAACTCGAGTCAGGTGTCCGATGGCGCAGCCCTGGTTTTGGTGGCCCGACGATCTGAGGCCAAAAAGCACGGCTTGCCAATCCTGGCACGACTGCGGAGCTTCGCAGTTGCTGGCTGTGACCCGGCACTCATGGGCATCGGACCAGCTGTCGCAATCCCGAAAGCACTGGAGAAGGCAGGCTTGACTGTTGCCGACATCGACATTTTTGAGATCAACGAGGCCTTTGCATCCCAGGCGGTGATGACGGTCGACACCTTGAAGATCCCCATGGAGAAGGTGAACCCCAAGGGTGGCGCAATCGCACTTGGCCATCCGCTGGGCTGCACCGGAGCCCGGCAGATTGCAACTCTTTTGCCAGAGATGAAGCGTACCGGTGCCAAGTTTGGCCTGTGCTCTATGTGCATTGCAACCGGGCAGGGGGCCTGTGGCGTGTTCGAGAATGAGCAGTAATGGGCGAGCTGTATGTAGGTCTCACAAGCACCACCGTTTAGCCTGAAAACGTTTCATCGGATCGCTCTGCCGCTTTTGTACGTGTGGCCGAGGAACTCCGGAGACAGTCGGGCCGTGGCAAAAAAAAAAAGGCTGACGAGTAATAGGCACTAAGAACAATGAGCATGATAGCAGTAGCAACCATAAGAACATACACAGTCATAGGGTTTTGGGGTTAAGGTTTAGGGTTGATTTTCAAGACGACGACGACGACTACTACAACTACTACTACTACTACTACTACTACTACTACTACTACTACTACTAGATGCATTAGCTTTGATAATCTCAAAATTAGTATTATTCAAACTGAATTTAACAATAGCATGTGACATTCCTCTTTTACTTGGAATTACAAAAGCCGCATTAAACAATCCTAGTTTAGTTTCAGCAGCCGCATTAGATAATCCTAGTTTAGTCTCAGCAACCCTCAACTCTAAACTCTCAGCTCTGATAGGACGTCGACGTGGTCGCCGACTTCTACGACCGAAGCCGGGCAAACTGGGCAGCATGGCGAAGAAGAACTGTGTGTCGAGGTTTAAAGGTCCTGAAGCCTGAAACCCTGGAGGCTTCACAGCTGCAGATTGGTGATGACGATCTGGTTGCGGTCGGCGGGGGAAAAGGGTTGGGGGAGGTTTGGGCATTCGCGCTTCAAGGCACGCGTGCGGCGAAGTTGGTGGTTACCAGCAACTTTTCAATTATCAGGTGCTTGAAGCTCATGTTTGAACTCGCCTGCTTGTTCAAGTTGCATGCTTCCACGATATCGGATATCGTCTACAACACCTGCACCGCAACATGTCGAAATTCTTGTTTTTTTTTTTTTTGGGGGGGGGGGGGGGGGGGGTTCTGAAGCAAGTAGTCGTTAAAGCAAATGAGCTGCACCAGCTGCTGGCCTACAGTGCAGGTGCTTTGGTCTTTTTTGGGGCCTGCGGGCCTGGTTGAGGAAGTGCCGAAGTGAAACCCCGACACCGACACCCAAAACCCAAACTCCCCATCAGCAACCCCTATTTGAAGCCAGAAAGGAAGGAAAGGGATCACAGTGGTATTCTAGAGTGACTCCTAAGTCCCTTGCCTGAACCTAAATAGCCGAAACCCGACAGCAACCCCCAAACGCCCTGCCACTAAACCTTGGGATCTTCCTCATACTAGCAGTCCTTGAAAGGGATTACAGCACCCCATTATAGTCCCCTTTAATCCTATTACGGACTGTCTGTTAGTGTAAGAGAAACATCCCAAACCCTAAATCCCAAGTGTCCATAAAGCACCCTAAACCCTAAACCCTTAACCCTTAACCCTTAACCCTTAACCCTTAACCCTAAACCCTAAACCCTAAACCCTAAGCCCCTATAAGCTCAGCTGAGGCAGCTGCCGCTCTGAGAGCGCTTTTGGCTTCTCGCGCGCTGAGCGGGCTCAGAACCCTTGAAGCCCTAAAAACCCTATTGAAGCTTATGAACCCTGTTTAGGGTTTAGGAGTTTATAAACCATATACACTCTCAACCTTATACTCCAGTTTAGAGCTCAGGTTCTTGGGGGCATTGCTTTGGTGAGCGAGTGGTAGGCACAAGCGTTAAGGTTGCAACGGCGTTGATGAATGAGACCCCTGCATGGTTCTTACATGCATTGTGAATCTCCTTTTTCTTTGGGGGAAACTTGGACTTGCTGAGCGGTGCAGCATGTCGGGTTTAGGGTTTAGGGTTTACGGTTTAGGGCTGCAGGACGTGAATTTCAACAGTCCCAGCGCTTTGTTCACATGCAGCAGCCGTCTTTTGTATCGCATAGACGCACACACACACACACACACACCACCCATCTCTGGCAAGCGGACGGCCACCCTAACCGCAGTATCTCCATCGTACCCGCGCTTGGGGGTTGACTACACTGTCGTACAGATCCGCACAAGTCGCGCTTGTGGAGGCATACCGTCGACTGAGATAAAAGAAAAAGTGTGTTTCATGCATGTAGAGGGGGGGGGGCGTATGCATGGTTGATCAAGATGCATGCACGTCTGTGGCGGCGTGCGATCTTTCGTTTTGTTTGGCCCCCACGTCCTGTCATGTGTGTTCGCTGGCTTTGCCAAGCATTGCGTTGTGTAGCAGTTGTCTTGGGGGATCCATTGACATCCATGTGACACAAGCGCATCCAGCAAGCATCATGTGACAAGCGCACATTTCAGTTCTCCACGCGAAGCATCCGGGGGTACAGGCTTGCAGCTTTCTGCCATGTCCCACGGCCAAGACTGTCGTGCGCGTCAGTCTTGGCAACGGCACGCATCCCTTTGCGTGCAGACGGAATGGAGAACTATCACGTGCTGCACTTGGTTGGCCAAGGATGCTTTGGGAAAGTGTACAAAGGAAGGCGCCGACATACGGGGCAGATTGTGGCCATGAAGTTTATTTCCAAGCGGGGCAAGCCGGAGAAGGATCAGCAACAGCTTCGCCTGGAGATCGGCATCTTGCAGCGCTTGGAACATGAAAACATCATCCGCCTGTTGGATTGGTTTGAAACCAACACGGATTTTGTGGTTGTGACGCAGTTTGCATACGGCGAGCTCTTCGAGATCTTTCAGGATGACAAGCGCCTGCCAGAAGCGGAAGTGAGCAACATCGCCCGTCAGCTGGTCAAAGCATTGAACTACTTGCATTCGCAGAAAGTCATACATCGTGACATGAAGCCACAGAACGTTCTCATCGGTGCCAATGGCACGGTGAAGCTTTGCGACTTCGGATTCGCACGGGCAATGTCCAGTGACACGACAGTCCTCACTTCTGTCAAGGGCACTCCATTGTACATGGCACCAGAACTTGTACAAGAATGGCCGTATGATGGAAGTGTAGATTTATGGTCCCTTGGCGTTATCTGCTACGAGCTCTTTGTCGGGCAGCCGCCTTTCTACACCAACAACCTCATGTCTCTGGTCCGCTTGATAGTCGACAAGCCTGTACGATATCCCGAATCAATGTCGGAAACCTTCCGGTCATTCTTGCAGGGATTGCTGCAGAAGGATCCGAAGAAGAGGCTGGGATGGCCAGACTTGTTGCACCACCCTTTCGCCACTCGGCCACACTTGGGGCAAGAGACCTCCTGTTCCATCAGATGTAGAGTTTGCGCGGCATCCTAAACCCGAAACCCTAAACCCTATAACCCCTAAACCAGAACCACACTCAACCCCCAGGTGCGGGATCCAGAGTTGGCAGCTGCGGCCAAAACCTCGCCTCCAC